AGTTCAGATTTTACCTTTTTACAGTGGAACCAGAGAATAGATTGTGATATTGCACACAAAGAATTATACTCCAGATCAGCCCTGAATTGTTCCATCAGCTTTACATTATTTTTAGAAATGTGTTAACCTGATTAAGAACCAGCCTGCAGAATTGCTAAGTTTTGAAAAGAAAATGTGTTCTTGTACAGTGTCTAACACACATACACGCTTGGCTATTAACTCTAAATCTTCTTATGTATTGTGTTTTCTTCTTTTTTGCTTCAGAGGAGTCCCAAGAAGGTGAGAAAAATCAGTGGATGCTACTCACATGTATCTTTTCTGGTTTCTGCCAATTGCCTTTCTAATAACCTGCTTCATATTTTAGGTGTGTTCCAAACTCTTTGAAGTTGTTAGACGTCGAATGATTCGCCATGCTCTTGCCTCAGCACAACGGCAGCGACTCTCATCCAACAATAACAGGAAGAAAAATTAGCCAGTATTTTTACCTTTTTCTTTATCTAAAGCATTCACAATTCGTATAGACAGTAAGCAGGACTGTGCTGGGGCGATTTACATAAATGCTATAAGCATACCAGGCTGATGCTGCATTGTAGGGTATGAAACTGCACCTGCTATTCTAGGAGCTATAAAGTTACGTGGATTAAGTCAACTACTGCAACGGAGGAAACCACTTATTGCTCTGTAAATTATTAACTGTAAGCTGGTAGCCAAACTCATTTTTTTTCTTTTTTTGTTTTGGTACTGTTGCACTTTGGATACATTTCATACTCCATGATTTTGTGTTTTTTATTATTATTATTTTTACCATCTGAGTTGCTTTTAGTTAATTTACTTTTACACATTTCTTGTACTGCAGGTGATAAAACCTCTTGGGGATAATTTGATTGAGGATACCGTGAGACAATCGGTTACAAACTCTATCAAAGCAGGCCTGACTGAACAGATGTCTCAGCATGCCAGATTAAAGACAGATTGACAGCTCACCTCATCTCATCTGCCTGTCCATCCTAGATTTGCTTGCTGTACAACGAGAACTCAATAAACCAAAGTTTACATTTGACTATAAAGCAGTAGTGTAGTCTGACTGGATTTCTAATTTACTGCCAACATATTGTGGGAAGATAACAGGGGTGCAGGAGAAGATATTGGACTTTTTTAAAGAGTTTATCCATGATTTGCTCCCACGACGTCATGGAAATGGGGAAAGGGAAGATCTTAACCACAATACCAGTGCTCTTTGTACCCAGGGGAAGGAGGTATGGTTTGACTTATGGAAATCTATCCACTGTAAAGGGTTTTTCAGGGAAGTATCAAAACTATACAGTGAAATCTTTTAACAGAATGTATAATCACACAAAGTCCCTTAAACGTTTTAATTGTGAACATTTATGAGTCCAGTTGACGTATCAGCAGTAGCAGTCAACTGAGAAGTCATGTTTGAGCCACTACATTTATCTGCTCTTGCATTACTGCCTTCTCTACCAGTATTACCCATATGCATGTGTATTGTTCTCCACAGATGCTACATTTAGAGATAACTGCAACACTGTCCTGCTTTTTTCAGTTTAGAGACCTTGTCTTACAGGATATACATATCAAGAAAAGAGCTGTTTTTCTCTGCAGTTTTAGCCTACGTGTATATACAATTTGCATTACTACTGAGGGGAGAAAACCCATCCAAAAATACAACGTCCGTTTCCTACAGCTACAAAGCAATGAGTTCAGATTGTCTGTACAGTGTGTCTAGTTATTTTTTTAATCACAGGGCATGTATAAAATATAAATATATAAATACAATTTTGTATCAAAGTTTTGTAGTTTATGGCAAAACCTGGTTCTGTGATAAGCTAAGTACAGTCCCTGTAAAGGAATGTTTGTGGCTCATGTAAATGTGTGGATGCATAAAAACAATTTAGTTTTTTTTGATATATTTGTGATATTTACCTGCCTTGAACACTGCAATCTCATCCCATGGGAAATCAGTGGGAATGTTTGTTGTGATTGTCTTCGGTTACATTTTAAAGTTATTTCCTGTAATTTATTTTCTGGTACATTAAAATCAAATGTGTATATATGAAATTAAACTCATGATTTTATTTAAACATGTTAATGTAATTCACTGCATTACCTACTGTTGTTTAGAATGTTAAGCAAACTTCTCATTTAACTTACACATTCTTGTCACTAAGAGGCTCAAGGACATCCAGACTGCTGCCAGCAAGATTGAAGTGAGGTTAGAGCAACGTTCGCTGCTTCGTTTCTGTTGTTTTTCCCCCCCTCCATTGAGCATAAGAAACTAATAAACTGAGAGCCAGTTTGGTCTAGTAGTTAAGGCACCAGGCCAGAAACCAGGAGACTGAGAGTTTTAGTCCTGCCTTAGGCATGAAAGCCGGCTGCGTGACTCTGAGCTAGTCACTCTCTCTCTGTCCAACTCACCTCACAGGGTGGTGGTTGTGGGGAAAATAGGAGGAGGAAGGAGTATTGGATACGTTAGCCGCCTTGAGCTATTTATAAAAATAAGAGAGGCACAATAAAAAAAATCTAAAAAAAAAAATCTGGGAGATTAGTAAGGGGAAGCTTTAGGTTTTACACGTCAGATGTCCCCTTTCAAGACTCTTTCCTCCTTCCAAGTCTTTGAAGTTTAAATTTGAGTGTGTCATTTTGCTCATGTTTTGAGTCAGACTATAGTTATTTACTTCCTATCCAGCTTCAAAGTACTAGCTTCTGGGTGGCTCACAAAAAAAGCGTGTTAACTACAGTACTCTGAAAAGCCACAATATCCATGTAAGTAAAATAATATAGATAAAATCACTGAAGGCTGACACACACATGCACCCCCAATACAAATATGGGCCCTCATACCCAACCACTTACACAGCAGGGCTTCTAGTCACTATGCTGTCCCCAGCCTTGGAGTCACAGCTGCTGAAACACCTGATATTCTGGTGGGCAAATCTCCAAAAGGGTACCCCCCCCATGGTCCAACCACGTTTTGATTATGCATGCTAGTTATACATGTTCCTCAGTGACAGTCATATATACCCTTCAGTCCTTGCAATAGCTACTTATGTTGCTCTAAAAGAATAACCAATAAATTTCCTCCTTCCCCCAAGTAACATTAAGGATCCTGGGAAACTATCTTATTGGTTCAGTATGATAAAAAGTTCACATAATTGCTTCAGTTTACTGTAACATAAATCAAGGGGAAAAAGTAACAAAAACTTCATTCTGATACAGGAAGCTCAATCAAGGTGAGTAAACAATAGGTAAGTGTGCTGCTTGAAAAAGTTGCTAGCGAGCTAAACATAGCATATTCATCCATTTATTCCCTTTTTGGCATCAACACCACTGAATATTATCTGGTTTCCTATTACCTACCACAAAGGTAGGAAGGACACTTGTGTTTTGTCACTCTGTATTCTGTCCAATAAACTTTAGGATGGGGGTGGGGAACACTTATAGATCACTCCCGATCTCATGTAACTGCCTGGACCCAAAAGGTTCATTGCTAGAGAACAAAGGATCACCTTTTCCTGGAAGAAATGGGGGAGGATTCCTGCTTCCTTGTAGAAAAGGGAGCTAAAAATACCACTTCTGTTGCCACTAGCAATAAAAATTCCATTTTATTTTTCTACTGGGAGATATGTCCCTTTTCTGTAAGAAGTGTAAGAATGCCTGAAACAGTGCAAAAGCTATATATCCATGCATTGGTACAGCACTCAGACCCCAAAACTGCCCACCCATGCATTAGAAGTCCTGTGTAGGGAGGTGCATTATACTGTAAATGATTATGAAGGAGGAACAGCCCAACTTGAAAAGTTCCATGAGAAAATTTGAGTTTGGGCAGCCACTGATTTATGATGTGCCATCAAGTTGTTTTCGACTCCTAGTGACCAGAGATAGATGAGAATGTGACTGCTGTTACTTTAAATTAGAATGCAATAAGAAACCACCCCCTTACTTCAACAGATAAACCTCTTCCATTTTTTAAATTGAATTGTGAAATAACGCTGGGCTCTTAAATGTTTTTAACATTCTTTTCAATTAGCCCATCTCTATGCCACATAGGCAAAAATGTCCTTTCATTCTCCTTGGCTAATTTTTCTGCCTGTATCAATTTTGCTTGTTTCTTTTTTGTAGCCTACTTATCAAGTACAACCCCAGCAAAAGCAGCTGGGTTCTTTACTGATGCTTTTGCTCATATCAGGAGTGGCTACTAATAAAAAAGCGGTTATTGTTTCTTAACTGCATGCAGTTTTTTTCAAGGTAAGGTTGCTTTGGGGTCAAGTTGGATTGCACATCCTTAGTCCTAGGTTGGAAGGAGTAACCTGTAATCATTTTAAAATTGCCACAAAATAAAAGTACAGTATGCATAAATAACCATTTATGCTGGTAAGAGTTCAAGACATACTAAGTATTTTTCAAAAATGATAGCTTGTATTTTATAGTATCTGGATGATCATCTGTATTACTCAAATGCATGTCAATACGCTTGTGCATTTAAAAGAGAAGTTAGAGAAGCAGGGTAATATTCTCCTGAACCTTGGCTGGCAGTATAGAAAACCAACTTACCAAGTAATATGTAAATGAGTAAATAACAATAAACATTTGCTAAATAGTTGCCCTATCATTACTAATCTGCTGTAAGTTCCTTATTTTCTATATTTAAAATGAAAAAAGATGAAAACTGAAAACTATTTAAAATATTTACAGTGGTTTATTTTGTATTAAACCCTTTTTCAAATGAACTGTTGCTATAAATATTTTTGAGACTACATTCCAATTCACAGTGTAGAGAAGAACTGACATGTGAACTCTGGTTACCAGTTCAAATTCATTTTGATTGTTAAGAACCCAAAAGAAAGATGAAATTTTAAAAAATAACATCCATTACCATTAACTTTGATAATTGGAGGAACAGAGGAAGAAAAAGCAATTATGGCCTTTATCATACTATAAAAACACATTTAACTATCAACATTTAGTGAATGGACAAAATGGAATTTATATGAAAATTTAATTGTTTAATCAGGAAAAAAGCAGAAAGGATGACAACTTATTTACAGAAATGCCTCTTTACAATTTCCATCAAGAAAATTACAATTTCTAGGTTTCTGCGATTCCACAATGAAACTAAATAAAACCCACCAAGTACTTGCACTGCTTCCAATATTACTTTTCGCCAACTCTGTTCAGCAGATGCCTAACCATTTGGGAATTACACTACTATGGTTTTAAAACAGCATCAGTAACAAGAAGAGTTCCAAGCAGCTCTTGGGTGCTGTTAAAATAATGCATCACAGCTAAGAGGAGCTTCTCTCTTCTGTCCATCTTGTTTCTTTAAATAAGATCAGCGACTAGATTAAACAAAGAAAGAGACAAAATACTGGTGTGAAAATAATGAAGAAATGGCAGGTCCTATGCAAACCCCTACTCCAATGTTGAGAAAGCTACTAAAAGTCAAATCAACCAATCCATCACATAGCAGGCAGCATTTGACAAACAGCTTACAAATATACCTTCTGCAAATTCAAGATCGTTCATTAAGTTAACTGAAAAGATAGAAGCTTGACTCATATACCATTAACCTATCTAGTTTGTTGGGTTTGGGTTAAGCAAGCTCTGCCAACTAAACCATTGTTAACTTGCATGGTTTAAAAGCTTAATATCCTTTGTGAACAAGCCAATTGTTGTTTACCAAATAAAGCAAGTTATTAAATAGAGCATCACAGTGCAATATATGCACCCAGTCATGGTTCCAACAATACTCAACATAGGTGGAATACAATCACAAAAAATCTTTCTTAAAGAAACTTGGTGCAATGGATAGTGGAGGCTCTCTTGATTCTTTTGTGGATTTAAGGTAAACTCTCAGAGCCAAAAGGAGGAGTTCCTTTCAATACAAGAAACTTGGCCTTGCTTTATCCTCCTGAGCAGGCAGGAACATCAATTCTTTGTTTTTAATTTATGTTAGAAACCTTGTTTATATTTATTCCTAATTTAGGAATAAATGTACTGGTGTCCAACTATAATGCATTGCCAGCACACTAAAGGCATAGCCAGTGTGGCTCACAGGCAGGAACTTTCAAAAAAGTGAGTAAAAGAGCCGAAAAGGCAGCACTGAATCCTCCTAAATGTATCTTGCTCTGTATGTAATGCTTTTTCTCACCAATGAACTGATCATTGTAATGTCTAGGAAATCTTGTTGCAGTTTTAGACAACACTGTGGTTTGATTATATGATTTTCTTGCTTTTACATGTTATTCATCATTTTGTTAATTTTTCCAATACTTTGGAAAAATGAAAGAAAAAATGACTATGAGGGAAGAAGCAGAAAAAGAATCTTTCCCAATTTTTTTTTAGGCCTTCATATCTCCATACTAAAGCAATCCTGTCATCTCATGGCTATTATCTGCCTACATGAAATAAATGCTGTGGTTAACTATTTTCTACTGTTTTGTTGCTATACAAGATCAGGTTAGTTAACAAGACAAGAAATTAGACACTCACCGTTCATGGGCATTTCATCAATCTGGGTAGAATAGTATTGCTCAATGTCTCGCAGGATACGAATATCATCATTCTTTACAAAGTTGATTGCAACACCTTTGCGACCATAGCGGCCTGATCTACCAATCCTGGTGGGAGATTCAAAACTAATTAACATATGAGAAATCAGAGCAACTCAAGGCAGAATTCTTCCATGACCTTTACTACCCATGGCAGAACCAACTACAGTGAAGGACATTTGTGACATACCCTGGTCAACTGCTTATCTCATATACTTAAAAGCAGAAGCATCTTTCATTTTAACTGACAGGACTGGGGAAGAAGTGGCATTTTTTTCCCATTTGTTCTTCAGATAGTATTTTTATTACTCAAACATTTAACATTTTATGCATACATCCATTTTGGAATATGATTAAAAAAAACAACTGCCCATAGGGATTTTTTCCCCTTGAAATATACATGTATGCCTACCTGTGTATATACAATTCTCTGTTGTTGGGCAAATCATAGTTAATTATCAGGGACACCTGAGGAACATCCAGACCTCTTGCCCAAACATCTGTAGAAATTAGAACTCGGCTATAAAAAGAAAAAGCAAGCAAGTATTGGATTACAAGAAATCTTTACAACTTGACAAAAAGTTAGAAACCCCCTTATTTTCATCTGTGTTAGCACAACTTAAACATGAGGACACGTTGGTGGCATAATGGGTTGCACAACATCTGTATTAATACCAGAGATGCCACTTGCTGAATAAACACCAGGACACTAGGGTCATCTCAAACATAAGAACTAATACACTGTGAAGAAAGCTGACCCAGAACATTAGCTGTCATCCTAAGATATTCTGATGCACAAACTAGAGCAATGAAATAGATGTACACAACAATGTCCATGTCACTCTAAGCACCCAGATAGCAAAATCTAGAGGATGGTTTTGAATTGTATTTTGGGAGAGCTTCAGGGAACAAAAGTGCTGGCTTACCTTGCCCCAGACCTGAACTCTTTCATGATGGACTCCCTCTCCTTCTGGGGCATGTCACCATGCATTGATGAAACAGTGAAGTTGGCCTCTCTCATCTTCTCAGTCAGCCAATCAACCTGACCCAGGGATCAGCCACAATTAGTTTTATAGTGACATGGGAGTAACCTAGAAAATGTTAACTTTCTCTGTAGTGCACCCTGCATCTAATTCCACCCATCTGTTAATTTGAATAGAAATAATGCAACGTTCACTTGGATCTTATACTAGCTGACATACCTTCCTCTTGGTATTACAGAAGATGACTGCTTGTGTAATAGTGAGGGTGTCATACAAGTCACATAATGTATCAAACTTCCATTCTTCTCTCTCTACTGCCACAAAGAACTGTTTGATCCCTTCAAGAGTCAACTCATCACTGAGAAAATGGAAAAATATATCCAAATTTACCTTGTTGTTTATGTAAAGCATTTTCATTTACCCTTCAGTCAAAATGACTTCCAGAATAATTTACAAGGATGAACAAGATAGATTTTAAATAAAGAAAATGAGAAGGAGGAGAAAAAGCATATTCAGCCAATTACCCTTAAGTAACAATTCAAGGAGAAAACTGAGCTCAAAATCACTGGGCTATTGGCTGAACAAATGGAGTAGCCCTTATTTCCATTATTTTTTTCTTCTCTCTCCTGTAATTTTATATAATGGTTACTGGAATGGGATAGTTGTAAGGAATATCTTAATGGAACTATCAGACATTAAATTTAGGAAACAAAAACTTTCATAACTGCATAATTATTTTCTACAACTGTATTTTAAATCAGAAAAGAGAATTAGAGAAGGAGAGCAAAGTTGCACAGTTTTAAGCATTTCACTGCTGCTCTGGAATTAAAAAATAAAGAGCTCTGATATACTATGGTGAAGATATGCTAGGAAATTCACATCTTAGCCATGAACGTATTGGCTGCATGAGGACATAACACTAAGATCAGACTATCCACATAGTTTATGTGCTCTCTCCTCTCCAAGGAAATAGAAAGCTTCTACAGTCAGGCATACTCTTCAAACACTGGAGTTAATCTCATCCATAGGTAGTAAAAGCAATGTATTTTGCAAAATTTGATCCATTTCTACCAGTCATAGCTACATTTAACCAGTTGTCCAGGCTTGGATAACATAGCAAACAATGGTTAATTACAGTCAGGTCCAGAAATATTGGGACATCGACACAATTCTAACATCTTT